TGCCACGTGGCACACATTACATACCACAAGCCACATGCCACATGCCACATGCCACATGCCACAAGCCACATGCCACATGCCACATGCCACATGCCACATGCCACATGCCACATGCCACAAGCCACATGCCACATGCCACATGCCACAAGCCACATGCCACATGCCACAAGCCACATGCCACATGCCACATGCCACATGCCACATGCCACATGCCACAAGCCACATGCCACATAACCCACATGCCACATGCCACATAACCCACATGCCACATGCCACATAACCCATGCCACGTGGCACACATTACATACCACAAGCCACATGCCACATGCCGCATGCCACATGCCACATGCCACGTGGCACACATTACATACCACAAGCCACATGCCACATGCCACATGCCACGTGGCACACATTACATACCACAAGCCACATGCCACATGCCACATGCCACATGCCACATGCCACATGCCACATGCCGCATGCCACATGCCACATGCCACGTGGCACACATTACATACCACAAGCCACATGCCACATGCCACATGCCACATGCCACATGCCACAAGCCACATGCCACAAGCCACATGCCACATGCCACAAGCCACATGCCACATGCCACAAGCCACATGCCACAAGCCACATGCCACAAGCCACATGCCACATGCCACAAGCCACATGCCACAAGCCACATGCCACAAGCCACATGCCACATGCCACATGCCACATGCCGCATGCCACATGCCACATGCCACGTGGCACACATTACATACCACAAGCCACATGCCACATGCCACAAGCCACATGCCACAAGCCACATGCCACATGCCACAAGCCACATGCCACATGCCACAAGCCACATGCCACAAGCCACATGCCACAAGCCACATGCCACATGCCACATGCCACATGAACCACCACGTCAACAACGAGGTGCCTTAACAGGTGGTGGTTCATGGTGGTTCAGGAAGAGTTTCTCCTTCCCCTTCTCTTCTCTCCCTCTCGTGACTTGCATTCCCCACCAGCCTAGGCGCAGCGATTTGGACATGAATCATCATGTCAACAACGTCACTTACATTGCATGGATGCTTGAGGTGCGTTGCTTGTGTGCTTGAGCTAGCTGGGCTTCTTGGGGTTTCTTGAGTTATTCAAATGAGTTTTGGACTTGAACCACCATGTCAACAACGTGACCTACATCGCACTCATGGATCCTCGAGGTGCGTTGAGAGGTTGCATGCTACTGCTTGAGATCTGGTTACCGTAAAATCACCATTGGATATCACTGGGAGCGTGGGCAGGAGGAGGGGGCAGTCAGACCAACATAGACCCATGCGATGTTAAAAATCCAGAGCTCTGATGGGGAAGGAGGGTGTTAAAATCTCTTTCCATCACCCTCCTTCCCCATCAGAGCCTGCCCCAGTCCCTACTGGGTTCATCAGAGCTGGCTGAAATCACCATCGAGTATTGCGGGCAGGACAGCGAGGCCATCAGACCACCATAGTCACGATTCGCTCCTTGTCGTCTCCTCACTCCCACTTGTCCCCCACTTGTCCCCCACTTGTCCCCCACTTGTCCCCCACTTGTCCCCCACTTGTCCCCCACTTGTCCCCCACTTGTCCCCCACTTGTCCCCCAATTGTCCCCCACTTGTCCCCCACTTGTCCCCCACTTGTCCCCCACTTATCGCCGGGAATGTGGGCAGGGCAATGCGGCAATCAGACCATCATAGACCCATGCGGTATAACAACTCTGTCTTCTCGTATCACCCCCCCTCCTCTTACCCACCAGAGCCTGCCGCAGTCCCTCTTGGGATCATACGAGCTGGCTGAAATCACCATCGATGGGTTGATCCCAGTACGCGGGCCCATTCTCATTCATAGTTTCCTTTCCCTTCACCTCTCTCTCTTCCCTCTGCTTACACTCTCTTGCTTCCCTTCCCCACCAGAGCCTGCCGCAGTCATACGAGCTGGCTGAAATCACCATTGATTATCGCCGGGAATGTGGGCAGGGCAATGCGGCAATCAGACCATCATAGACCCATGCGGTATAACAACTCTGTCTTCTCGTATCACCCCCCCTCCTCTTACCCACCAGAGCCTGCCGCAGTCCCTCTTGGGATCATACGAGCTGGCTGAAATCACCATCGATGGGTTGATCCCAGTACGCGGGCCCATTCTCATTCATAGTTTCCTTTCCCTTCACCTCTCTCTCTTCCCTCTGCTTACACTCTCTTGCTTCCCTTCCCCACCAGAGCCTGCCGCAGTCCCTCTTGTGATCATACGAGCTGGCTGAAATCACCATTGATTATCGCCGGGAATGTGGGCAGGGCAATGCGGCAATCAGACCATCATAGACCCATGCGGTATAACAACTCTGTCTTCTCGTATCACCCCCCCTCCTCTTACCCACCAGAGCCTGCCGCAGTCCCTCTTGGGATCATACGAGCTGGCTGAAATCACCATCGATGGGTTGATCCCAGTACGCGGGCCCATTCTCATTCATAGTTTCCTTTCCCTTCACCTCTCTCTCTTCCCTCTGCTTACACTCTCTTGCTTCCCTTCCCCACCAGAGCCTGCCGCAGTCCCTCTTGGGATCATACGAGCTGGCTGAAATCACCATTGATTATTGCCGGGAATGTGGGCAGGGCAATGCGGCAATCAGACCATCATAGACCCATGCGGTATAACAACTCTGTCTTCTCGTATCACCCCCCCTCCTCTTACCCACCAGAGCCTGCCGCAGTCCCTTTTGGGATCATACGAGCTCGCTGAAATCACCATCGATGGGTTGATCCCAGTACGCGGGCCCATTCTCATTCATAGTTTCCTTTCCCTTCACCTCACTTCCCTCTGCTTACACTCTCTTGCTTCCCTTCCCAACCAGAGCCTGCCGCAGTCCCTCTTGGGATCATATGAGCTGGCTGAAATCACCATTGATTATCGCCGGGAGTGCGGGCAGGACGACGTGGTTGAGACACTTGCCAAGGAAATCGTTTCGCCTGATATTTCACCTGAAGTTTCACCTGGGGAGGGTGCAGCTGAGAAGGTGGTGTCCTGTGCTGGTGCTACTGCTGCAGCTGCTTCTGTTGCTGGTAGCAGTGGTGGGAGTGTGAATGGGACTGCTGTGCTGGAAATGGAAAGAGGAAATGGGAGTGTCGCTGCTGTTGCTGCTGTTGCTGCTGCTGTCGCTGCTGCTGCTGCTGTTGCTGCTGTTGCTGCTGCTGCTGCTGCTGCTGCTGGGGCTGCCCCTGCTGCTGCTGCTGCTGGGGCTGAGGGGTTGGTGGAAGGCGTTCAGCAGCAGCAGATGCAGCAATTTCTGCACCTGTTGCGATCGCAGGAGTGCAAAAAGGAAATCAACAAGGGAAGGACGATCTGGAGGAAAAAGAGCCACTCAGACCTGTAACGGCTTTTGAGGGTCTAATAAAAAGGAGCAGCAACTTCTGCACCTGTTGCGGTCACAGGAGTGCAAGAAGGAAGTCAACAAGGGAAGGACGATCTGGAGGAGAAAGAGCCACGCAGACCTTTTAATGCCCGACGAAGGGCCTGTGGTATCCTCATTATAGGATGTGATCAGTAGCTTACAACAAGAAAATGAGTAAAATGTGCTGGAAATCGAATGAGGGAAAGCATTGCTGCCTACATAACGAGAGGGAGCAATGGTTATGTGGGGTGGGGTACATGTTGTTGTGATTGTTGCTGAGGTGTATATAATTGAGAGCTTCTATTGTCGTACACAATATTTCAACCTCTGAACGACGTGTGTGGTAACAATTCTCACACTGCTATTGCATTGCCCTTGTGAGAGCTTCTATTGTGGTGACACAAGCCGTGTGCCTACACGCAGAGTTCCTAACTGACAATTTGTGACATTTGCATCCCCAATGATCACTAAGCCACAAAACAGCATGTGGCTCATTCACAAGACCGGAGCTACATACACACCATCTCAAACAGACAGAAACAATGCTCTATCCACAAGATAGCCACTATACGCCACCTCAACGAGCTTTGAGGTGCCTCAAAAGTTGTCCATTACACCGAAGCTACACCCTGAACAGACAGAAGCAATGCACCGTCCCGTCCCACAAGTTTGTCACTGCACACCATCTCAACAATCTCCTTCCGAATTGCAATGTGAGGTGCAACATCCATCAAGATCCTGCTAATGCCCCTTTTGTCCCTCATCCCTACTATTGCACCAGATCAGCAACAAGGCTCTGCTGGCCACTTCTGAGTCGACTCAAAAGTCACCTCTTCTGCAACTGTCCCTTTTGTGCCTCGTCCCTCTTACTGCACCAGCTCAGCAATGAGGCTCTGCTGTCCATTGAGGCGGAGCAGGAGGGAGAGAGGCGTGGAGGAGGAGGAGATGTGTGCGAGCAGAGGGGCAGCAAGGGAGGAAGACAGCTGCATCTCCCCAGCCATTGCAAACGCGGTGTTTGCAGCCCTGGCTGCTGTAGCAGCAGCACCGCCAGCACTGCCAGGAGCAGCAGCAGTAACAGTAGTAGCACCAATGGTGGCCGCAGTAGCAGCACCAGCAGCAGCACGAGCAGCAGCGGCACCAACAGCAGTGGCGGCAGCATTGACGTTGCCTGCTGTAGTCACCCAAGCACCAGGCAGCACCACCAGAGGGGTCAGAACCGAAGGCACCGAGCCAGCCACCGAACCTGCAAGGTTAGCCGCCGAGCCTGCTGCCTTGCCTGCTGCGCCTGCTGCTTTCCTTGCGGCACCAACTGCATTTTCTGCCGTGCTAACGAGTGAACCTGCAGTGTCGCCAACTAAGCCTGCGGCCGAGCCTGCAGCCTTACCAGCAGTGCCAGTCGCCAAACCTGCAGTATTCCCTACCAAGCCTGTTGCCGAGCCTGCAAGGTTCCCCGCCGCACCTGATGCCCTCCCTGCAGTGCCAACCGCCGCGCTTGCAGTAGTGCCGACCAAGCCAGCTGCCGAACCAGATGAGTTGCTGACCAATCCGGCTGCCGAGCCTGCAAGCCTCCCAGCAGAGCCTGCCGCCTTACCTGCAGTGCCAGCGGTGGAGCCTGCAATGGTGCTGACCAACCCTGCTGCCGAACCTGCCACCTTCCCTGCAGTTCCAACCGCCGAGCCTGTAGCGTTGGTTGCCAAGCCTGCTGCCGAGCTTGCAAGATTGCCTGCGGATCCTGCTGCCTTTCCTGCAGTTCCGATTGCCAAACCTGCAAGGTTGGTTGCCAAGCCGGCTGCCGAGCCTGCGAGGTTCCCTGCAGATCCTCCCACCTTTCCTGCAGCGCCCACAGCTGAAACTGCAGCGCTGCCCACCAAGCCTACTCCCGAACCTGCAAGGCTTCCCACCGAACCTGCCGCCTTCCCTGCAGTTCCTACCGCCGAACCTGCAACACTACCCACCAAGCCTGCCGCCGAGCCTGCCACCTTCCCCGCAGAGCCTGCCACACTCCCCGCTGCCCTCCCCACACCAAAAACAGCTCCGGCGACATCCGAAATCAACCCAGCTGGAGCCACATTGAGGTTTGGCGAGCCTCCAAAACTGGCTCGGGCGCCTGCCGAGCCTATGTTGGCACCCGCACCGGCGGCCAAACCAGTCGAGGCAGTGATGGGAGTGGAGGAGAGGGGGCCTCTGGTGCAGGGGTTGCGAGGGAGGATGGCTGGAGGAGTGGAGGGCTGCAGGGCTATGCCCTGTGCTCTGATCTTGTAGGCAAGGTACACTGACGCTCCCCTAAGAGATTATGCAAACGGGAGAGATAAGAAGAAAAACAAGATATTATTATTTATCTAGAAAAACTTACTACTCAAGGTGGCGGAAGAGAGAGGGGGGGTTGGGGGGGGGAAGGGAAGGAGGTGCTGGAAAAAATAGGATACAATCCCAATGCAGGTTCGCAGTACCTTCGGAGGATGCTGATATCAGCCGTGCCATCAGCGTTGGACCTGATCTCAGCACTCGTCCCACCACAAGGGGCTAGGGTCCCATGGAGAGAAGCTGGTGAAACAGAAACAGAACAGAATAGCAGAAGATCTAGGAGCATCAGGATCTGGAGTTTAATATTTGCCGCAAGATAGAACGCTATTGGATTATATATATATAACTGTTTCTTGCGGATCATGCTTGTAAAGGGCTTTGCAGTAACGGAACTCACCCAGAATCTTGGAGCCGATGCTAGGACCAGTGCGAGCAGCGAGGGCAGATGGAGGGAGAACGGCTGCTGAAACAATAAGCGGACACAAGAAATAGAAGGCGAAAAGGGTATGATGTGTCGAGGAACATTCAATTGGTAATGGAAATTCCTGTGTTATGACTGAAGTTTGCATATTCAATGAGTACATCTAGGGAAATCGTTGCGACCTGGCTGTTATGCAGAATAACTAACCTGCAAGTGCGACGGTGAGGAGAAGTGTCACAGCTGCACGAGGGGAGAAACGAGTCATGCTGAAAGGTTGGAAATCGTTCCGTGGTAAAGCAAAGCAGTGGGGTGGCTCCTGAACTCAGGCTTGGGAATACCAGTGTTGAGAAGTTGAGCTGATTGATTTTGAGTCTGTGGTGCAAAATGTTGGAAATGTGGGCATTTATCAAGCCTGCTTTCGGGCCGCGCATTCAACATCACGAGTCGCGACAGAATGGAGGTGAAAGGAGTAGCTGCAGAACATCTGGGTTGGCCTTGCTGTCGGGCAGGCCACGTGGCGGTGATGTTTGACCTACAAAGCGGTGGGGCAGGCTGCCTGCCGAAACCCGCTGCCCACCGAACACATTTTGCGTTGAAAGTAGTCTACGGTCAGGGAACCAATCGCACCACTAATTTATCCGATATAAGAAATGTTCATCTTGTGCGGACCGTTTATCGATTTGAAACAATCGCATATATGTGGGCCCTGTTCAAAGAGCTTGCGGAGCCACACTTTGTGGCATTTGGTGTAGCGCGGATATAAAGCTGGTTTGCTGACTCCCTCGCACCTTCAGACTTTTACCGAGCCAACACACAAGCTGACGAAGGTGTGTCGTGGCCTAGGCCAAACTAGTTACCTGCCGAACCTCCCCGTGTGGCAAATGCCTTGCAACTTGAACCAGCCACGTGGGTCCAGCTCGCAGGGCAAGCCTAGTGAAGCACCAAAAGCTAAGCTCGTCTAATCCAAACCAGAACAGGTTTGCACATCAGCACGCATTTTTCTTTGCGCCAATCTCGCCCCTCCCGTTGTGCATATCAAGGTTGAACCGCATCGCATTCTCGTGCAGAGGAACGAAAGGGGCTCCTCATTTGTTAGGTTCGAATCACCCTTCCCCTGAGTATTGACTGTCGAGGCTCTCCCAGCTGTAGGGCGTGCAAAAAAATATTTCCCAGCATCTTCAGCTTAGCAACAGCCCCAATCAACCAGTAGGAATCCGTAATGCGGCTGGTTGGAAGAGTACACTGATGCATTTCTTCGTAACCAGACATTTTTCTCAACTTCCTCTTGTTTCGGGTAGTTTCGATCTGTTGGTGCACCATAGTTACGCCACATTTGTTGCGCCCGAACCCATCACCTCGTCAATCCCACAATCATCACACGAGTCGCTTACTTCCAGAGGCCATGCATCGTGGGATATCGTAGCTTGAGCTCTCATCTGTGGAGGTGCGAGTTTAGTTACGTAAGACGACGATCCCGATAGAACCCAACGAACCTCCATGGCGCGACGAGTAAACTTGACGGCAGGACAGCAGCAGTAACTAGCAGTGCACGACATGTGGTTGCGAGAGGCATGTTCGAATCGGATAGCAGGCAGGACACATGAGCTTCTCCCAAAGCACGACCGAGTTTCCTACGTCCCCCACCTTTTCCGAGAAGAGAAGCTGCAAAGCCCCCGAAAGGCGTCAGGGTATCCTGAGGCGCCTCAGAAGTTTAGGATTACGAGAGTTCGCGATGTGCGAAAATGGATGGCGACGACGTGACCGACTTCTCGCGAATCTTATCCGCGAAAACTTCTGCGCTCTTCTGTCTTTACATAGGATAACAAAGCTGACTTCAGTCTTTTGGAACGTAAAGCGGACGTAACCAGCTGCAGGCGTAGGCTCAGCACACATAGAAGCCCCCACGAGGCAAGGTAGTGTTTTTGGGACATGGGTTCCCGCCTCTGACGTAGAAACAACCCTTAGAAGCATCCTGCGCAGCGATGTCACCTAAGAACTCAAGTATACGCCTTATTTTTCTCCTCACCTGGGCGTTCATTTGAGCAACGGTTAGGCGTCGCCTTGGCTCTTAGATAATCGAGTGACTGATAGTCGAATACTCTGATAGCCGCGCAATTGCGAATACTAGGTACTATTCAGTCATGGCGACTCCGTCATTCTACTAGGTAGACTTTGGGAGCTGCGGGGTTACGTGGTAACAACATGGATACCGCGCTTGGCCACATGATCGGGACGTGGGATCGACTCCGCAACACCTCCCCCATTCTTAGCGCCAGCCGTCCCCCTCTTTTCCCCGCCCCTCCGCCTGTTGCGCAATTCGCCGACTCCCGTCGAGTGAGCCCCTTGCCTCCAGCCAATACGAATACTAATAGCATTAGTACGAATACTAGTGGTGCTACTAGTGGAATAAGGAGCACGAATCCAGAGACGTCTCAAAACGAGAACTCGACTCCAGGAAGTAATATTCTCAACGCTGGTGATGCTAGTCGCGCCCGGCAAGCGAGTTGGAGCCGTGGCGGTTCGGACAGGCGAGAGGAGGGAGGCAGGAGGTATTTCAACGCTTTAGGCGGGAAAGAAGCTTTGCATGTCAGGGAAGCTCCAGTCGCGGCGCGTAATAACGGCTTAGTGGACGATTTCTCCCGTGGGCGCCTCGCTCAAGCCGCGAAAGACTTAGCGAGCGCTTCTCCTGTGGGAGGGCCGTCTGGCCCGTCCGTCAAAAGCGGCGGAAGGTGCGGCAGGGAGAGCGGCGATAGGTACGGAGGGGGAAACGATCATAAAACCAGAGCGGAGAGTAACGGAGAGGTTGCGGCTGACAGACGGGGAGGCGGCAGCATCGGAGGTGATAAAAGCGGGGGTGATAGAAGCGGAGCGTCCGCGGAGTCGGCGTTTTACCGTGCCATGCCTGATCCTTACGCGCGGCCGCAGCCCCGGCAGCACGGAACGGCGTTTCGCCGAGGCATCGGCGATGGCGCTCGCGACGGCGCTGGCGACGGCGATACTGGTAGTAACCGGGATAACGGCAGGGGTAACAGCGGGGATAGCGGTGGGTATAACAGCGTGAATATCGGCGCCAATAAAGACCGGAATAACGGCGGCAATACGGGGGGGAATAAAGTCGGGAATTTCGGCGGCAATAATGGGGGAAATAAATGCGGGAATAGCGGCGGTAACAACGGCGGCAATCACGGCACTGCAAGCGATGGAAGAAGGCGCGTGGGTTCAGACCTCCTGGCTGAACCCGCGGGGCAAAGCCCAAGGTTTCTGGGAGCAAGAGATAACCAGATGATGGAAGGCGGCAGCCGGCTGAACAGCCTGGGAAGCGGCCGGCCAGTTGAGCAGTCGACGGCAGAGATGACGGCTAACCGTCAGGCAGGTGTCCGGCCGGCTTATGTGTTCACGGAAAGTGGATGGAAGCCGGTAGAAGAGGTGGGAGGTGGGATTGGTAGGGGAAGTGTGGGGGTGGGACGGGGAGCCGGGAGGGGAGCGGGGAGGGGGATGGGGAGGGGGGCGGGGACGGAGGCAGGGACAGGGGTGGGGAGGGGGGTTGGGGAGACGGGAGGCGGAAGAAACGCGTTCGGTGGGGGATGGGGGAGAGGAGTCGGGGGAGGGAGGGGGATCGGGGCGGGGGAAGCGCGGAGGGAGGTCGGGGCAACGAGAGGAGAATCAGAAAGTAGAGGAGGGGAAGGGGCAACGTCAGCTTACAGTCACACTCCTACTCCCCTTTGTCCGAACGCTCCTGTCCTGGAAGAAATAGAAACGGCGTTGGGAGTGGGGGGAAAAGGGGGAGGGGAGGAGATGGGGGAAGAGGAGGAGGAAGAGGAGGAGTTGGAGGAGATTGAGATGGAACAACCGCCGCTGCTGTCTAGTTCCTGGAGTTTGAGTCACGGGATCGGTAGAGGGAACGGGCTTCTGGAAATAAATGCAGCACCAGTTGCAGCAACGAGGCTTGAGACGCCTCAAAAGCCGCCGCTGCTGGCTAGTTCGTGGAGTGGGATTGGAAGAGGGAACGGGTTTCCGGATACACGAGCAGCACTGGCTGCAGCAGCAAGCTTTGAGACGTCTCATAAGCCGCCGCTGGGGGCTAGTTTGTGGAGTGGGATTGGAAGAGGAAAGGGAGGGAATGGTTACCTGGATTTGAAAGAACCACCTGCTGCTGCAGCAAGTGTAGCAGCAGAAGGAGCAAGAGCAGCAGCAACAGCGTCGGTTGCATCACCAGCAGCACCCGCAGCAGCGAGAGCAGTAGTAGCATCGGCTTCAGGATCAGCAGCAACAGCAGTAGGAACGGCAGCAAAACCAGCAGCAGCAGCAGGAGTAACGGCCAGAACGCACAGGTTCAGGCCGAGGATACTATCACCCGTGCACGGTGGTCGAAACCCCCTCGCCTCGCCTAAAGCAGCCAGTGGTAACCATGCGAGGCAATGGACGTCAGCTGGTAACCACATGCGCGAAGCTCGTTCATGTGGTAACTACTTGCAAGAAACTGCTCCCAGTGGTAACATTGCAAGGCAAAACGGGGGGATTAACGGGAGGGGGGAAGATGAGGCGGTAAGCAGAGTGGTTGTGCCACTTGAGGCTGGAAATTACAGCAGAGAGCGGGAGGAGGAGGAAGAGGAGGAGGAGGAAGAAGAAGAGGAGGAGGAGGAGGAAGAAGAAGAGGAGGAGGAGGAGCAGCGTTGGTGCAAGGCGGAGGAAGCCAGACTACCCGCCTTAGCCAGAAGCCTTGACGTTGCCCAACCCGTTGAAGACTTGCCGGTCTTCCAGCAGAGAGAGGAGGAAGAGGGGCGGTGGTGCAAAGAGGAAGAAGCGATTCTGCCTGCCTTAGCCAGAGGCCTTGGCGTTTCCCAACCCGTTGATCACCTTCCGCTCTTTCAGCAGAGGGAAGAGGAAGAAGATGAGGAGGAAGAGGAGGAGAGAGAAGGGTGGTGGTGCAAGGAGGAGGAGAAACGGTGCAGGGAAGAGGAGGAGAGAGAAGGGTGGTGGTGCAAGGAGGAGGAGGAGAAACGGTGCAGGGAAGAGGAGGAGAGGCGGCTCAAGGAGGAAGAGGAAGAGGAGGAGCAACGGTGGTGCAGGGCACAGGAAGCAAGACTACCAGCCCTAGCCAAAAGTATTGCCGAACCTCTTGACGAACCTCTTACCGAACCTTTTGACGACCTTTGGGACCCACACGGCTTGTATGCAAACCAGAGCTTGTCTGGAGGTTCGTATGCCAACCCTGTTACTGCCGCCACTGCCACTGCTGCTTCTGGTCTCTTCGGTGTGGCTGGTCGCTTCAGCCCCCACTCTGGTGCTGCAGCTAGCAGCAGCAGGAGCAACAGCGGCGGCAGCAGCGACGGCAGCAGCAGGAGAAGGAGAAGGAGGAGGGGGTTACAGCACAGCAGCTTACCCCCATCGGCTGGTGCAGTGGCAATGGAGGGCTATAGCAGAGGCTCCATCCCACGTGATGCTTCCACAAGCAGCATCAGCAGTGACATTGGCAGCAGCAGCAGACGGAGAGGCTTACAACAGAGCCGCTTACCTCCATTGGCCGGTGCATTTGCTAAGAACGGCTATAGCAGAGGCTCCATCCCGCATGCTGCTTCTACGAGCAGCAGCAGTAGCTGTGGCGGTAGCAGTAAGAGAGGCTTGCAACACAGTGACTTACACCCATCGGCCGGTGCAGTGGAAATCGGGGGCTATAGCAGAGGCTCCATCCCGCATGCTGTTTCTACTAGCAGCAGCAGTAGCTGTGGCGGTAGCAGAAGCGTCAGGGGCAGCGGTAGCAGCAGCATCGGCGGCAGCGGCGGCAGCAGGGGTGACAGGGGCAATGGTAGAGGCTCAAACCAATGTCTCGCTTCTATGGAAGGGGTTTCCGACAGGGATGATTACACAAGGAGTAGGAGGGTGGCTGACAGTTATGCCATTGGTGATAGTGGAGGGAGTGGTGTTTGGTACGGTTCTGGTGACACTGGAGGGAGTGGGACTCGGTGCAGGAATGGTGGTAGAGATGGGAGTGCTGATGGGTATGGTACGGTTGACAGTAGCGGTATTGCCAGGGCCAACGACATTGCGAGTTATGATAGAGATGGGTACAGACGTGGATACCAGGGTGGTTACCAGAGTAGGAGGGACTGTGGCAGTGGAAGCAGGGAGGAAGCAGAGTTAGGGAACAGTGGGGGTGGGAGAATAAGCGAGGAGGGTGATTGTGGTGATAACTGGGAAAGGATCCGCAGCAGCAGTAGCAGGGACAGAGGCAGCGCGAGCAGGGGCAATGCGCCAGGGCTAGGGGACAGTGGGGGTGGGAGAATGAATGAGGAGGATGATTCAGATAATAACTGGGAGAGGATCTGCAGCAGCAGTGGCAGGGACAGCGGCAGCGTGAACAGGGGAGAACCGGCAGAGTTAGGGAACGGTGGTAATAACTGGGAGAGGATAAACGGCAGCAATAGCAGAGGCAGAGGCAGCTTTAGCAGGGGAGAAGCGCAAGAAACAGGCAACAGGGGAGGCGGGAGCATGAGCAGGCAAAGTGGGAGCATGAACAAGGGCGTTGCGCAGGGGAGCAGCAGCACGAGAAGCTGTGATCGCATGAATGAGGCTATCAGGAGCAGCGCTAGCAGCAGCCTGAGAGGTTATTTTCTCAAAATCAGAGGCAACAGCAACGACAACGGAGGGGAGGGCAGCAGCACGAGAAGCAGTGATAGCAGACCAGATGCTATAAGGAGCAGCGCTAGCAGCAGCACGAGAGACAACGTTCTCAGGAGCACCGGTAACAGCAACAGCACGGACAACGGAAGAGTGGCCAACAGAAGCAGCAGTGGCAGAAGCGGCAATGACCTGTACACAAGTGACACGATTGGTAACACAAGGAGTGGTAACACAAACAGTGGTAACATGAGGAGCGGTAACGGCAACAGTGACAGCAGCGACGGTAGCAGCAGCCGACGCAGCAGAGGAAGCAGCAGAGGGAGCAGAGGGAGCAGAGGGAGCAGCAGCAGCAAGAGCCAGAGCAGCGGAACGTCTAGGTCAAGAGGCATCACCAGCAGACGGGTTGCTCTCCCCTCTCCCGCCTCCTCCTGTGCCTCCTCTCTTTCCTCTCCCTCCCCCCCCTCGTCTCCCTCCATCCCCTCCACTCCCTCTTCCCCCTCTCCCGCCTCTCCCCCCGCCCCTTCCCCCGTCCCTCCCTGCCCTCCTTCTGTTCATGCTGCGCCTCCCCCCTGCCTCTCCCCCACTCCTTCCGCCTCCGGCCCCCAAGAGTCCCCCCAGGCCTCCCACCAAACCTCTTTCCGAGCCTCTTCATCCGGTTCTCCCAGCGCATCTCCCAGGGTCACGTCCGGCAGGTCCGCCTCTTCAGGCTCGGCATTCTCCCGAGCCTACTCTTCCGGTTCGGCAAGGTCTCCCAAGCAGGTTCGGCCCAGCAGAAGCGCCACCAGCAGCAGCACGGGAAGAAGCACCCGCAGCAGAGGAAGCAGCAGGAGAGGTGGTAACCCTACGGTTACAAGCAGGAAGCAAAGCAGGACTCACAGCAAGACTGACAGCAAAATCCAAAGCCATACCCAAGAGAATACCAAGAGCAGCAGCACTGATTGTATGCCCACAGCTGTACCTCGTTCCTCCGGACCTCTTCCCGGGCCTCATTCCGAGCCTGTCGCCCACCCAGGCCTTACCGCAACTGCTCCATTTACCACAGGGTCTTCCAAAGCTGAGGCTCAGGTCTGTGCTCCTGCCGTGCCTCAGGCTGTCCTAGAGGGAGATTGCAAAGGTTCTTTGGTTTCCGAACCTAGGTCATCCGAGCATGAATCCCCACGTTCCCAACCTCAGCCTAGTTCGATTGCCGAACCTGCAGCTCCCTTGACCAAGCCTCATGGTTCTCGTGCTTCGGGCAGCCGAAGCGATCACTCAAGCAGTGAGGGGGGTCGTTCGGGCAGCAACAGAAGAAAGACTGTTTATCCTCCTGCTGCTCCAGTCAACCTCCCGTCTTCCCCATCTTCCTCTCCTGCTCCCCCTTCCTCACCTCCTCTCCCTCCCTCCCCTGACTTCACTTCCTCCCCTCCTCTCCCTCCCTCTCCCCACACTCCAGACGCTTATCCCTCTCCCTCACCTCTTCCCAACACTTCTCCCTCTTCTCTTTCCCTCGCTCCTCTTCCCTCTATCCCTTCCTCCCCTCCTTCCCCCACCCCATCATCGCCTCCTCCCCTGTCCCCACTGCCGCCGTTTTGGCCTGTCTCCCCCTCTTCCTCCCCTCTCTCTCCCTCTGCCTTCTCTTCCCCCTCTCCCTCCCCCTCTCCTTCCCCTTCCACCCCCCTCCCACCAACCTCCCCTATTGAAAGGAGAAAGGCAGCAGCTGCAGCCGCAGCAAGGCGGAAAGCCATTGCCTCTGGTTCGGCGCCTGCTGGTTCGGGTTATTCTGGTTCGGTCACAGGCTCGGTTACAGGTCCGGTTTCTGCTTCAACTTCACGTCCGGCCGAAGGAGGGAGGGAGGGAGAGAGGCGCATTGGCAGTAACGGCAGCAGCAGCAGTAGCAGTAGCAGTAGCAGCAGCAGGGAAAGCAGGGGCAGCAGCAGAAGGAAGATCAGGGAAAATAGGGATGAGAGTGGTGCTACCAGTGATGGTAGCAGTAGTGGCAGCAGCAGCTGCAACAGAGGCAGCAGCAGCGACAGCAGAAGCAAGAGTGGAGAAGCAGGACCAGGAGAAAAGGGAGGAGGGGATGGGGGAAATGCGGAGGGCAGGAACGAGGCGCGGAGGGAAGCAAAAACTGCAGATGCTGCTGTTGATGTGACAGCAACGGCAGCAGCAGCAACAGCAACAGCAACAGCAACAGCTGTAGCAGGAGCAGCATCAGTGGCAGCAGGTGCAGGTGCAGGCGCAGCAGCAGCGGCAGCGATGCCGCAAGTCCAAACCATGATAACGTCAGCATCTCCATCTCATGGCAGCATGATGACGTCAGCAGCACCATGTCACGGTGCCATGATGACGGCAGCATCGCCATCTGCAACATCGCCATCCATGCCGGCCGGGATGGTGGGAGCGGGGATGGTGGGTCTGGCCGGCATGACAGCTGGCATGGGCTGGCAGCAGAACCCCATGATGACGTCAGCAGAGCAACCCATGCTGACATCATCGGGCAACCTGGTGGCAACTGCCATGAAGCTTCCTCCTCCGCCTCCTGCATTTTTAGACGCCACCACGGGTACTGTAGTTTATAGTAATGGCAGTAATAATAAAAGTATTAACAATAATATCAACGGTGTACAGTACTGCAACGGTCAACAGGGGCTACAGGGATTACAGAGTAGTGATGTGCGGTTCAGTGCGGTGCAGAGCGGTGGCAGTGGTTTACAGCTCACAGGTCTGCAGCAGCGCAATGGGGGGATGATGCTGCCTGATGGATCGATGCAGTCAGCAGGGCACATGGGGATGATGACGTCAGCAGGCCAACACATGATGACGTCACCTGCTCATGCTCCTCCTAGACTCACTCATACCCACTCACTCTCCCCCTCTCTCCCACTCTCCCCTTCACACCCTCTCCCGCCCTCACACCCTCTTTCCCCTTCACACTCTCTCTCCTCCTCTCACCCCGATGCTCACACTCACTCACTATCCCCACCGCACCCCCTCTCCACATCACAGTACACCATGATGACGTCACCGTCTCACTCAATGCTGACGTCATCCGTGGCAGCATCAGGCATGGCTTACCCCTCAGCCAGCATACCATACGCATCCACTGGTGCTGTACCATCCATGTCCATGCCCTCTCAACAACCATCTATGGCTTCACAACAAGCCATGCCATCACAACAGCAATCCATGTCTATACCCTCTCAACAGCTACCCTTGGTCTCACAGCAATTCATGCAACAGCAAACTCTAGGCATGGCTGCTCCTCAACCCCATCACACACTCTCAACCTTCCCCACACACTCTCTAACCATCTCAATCCCCTCAACCCCATCACCCGCATCACCCACATCTCCCAATTCTCCTTCTCCCTTCAAGGCGCCTCATTCTCTCCAGACTCACCCCTCAGAGTCACTTCAGACTATAAGCCCATCCTTCCCACAGATGAATGTACATGGGAGTAACGGTGTGCATATCGCCTCCTCCCCTCAGGGGAGTAACGGTGTGCATATCGCCTCCTCCCCTCAGGGGAGTAACGGTGTGCATATCGCCTCCTCCCCTCAGGGGAGTAATGGTGTGCATATTGCCTCCTCCTCCCATCCGTCCTCTCACCTTTCCTCCCAGCCTTCCTCCCCCATGCATGCACATTCAGCTTCTAGCTCCCCCACCGCTTATGGCACCATGCATGCACATGCCATCAATAGCACCATAGCCAGCGCAGGCAGCAGCAACAACAGGGCCTTTAACAGCAGCATCCTGGCTAGCGCACCTAACAGTATGCTGGTTAGTGCTCCCACCAGCATGACCATGCTGACGTCAGCGCACCATGACATGCCCGCGATTATGACGTCATCGATGCAGGTTCAGCAGGATTCGGTGACGTCAGGAGGATACGGGGGTGGGACGGTGGTGGCGGTGGGGGGTGGAGAGAGGGAGGGGCAGCAGCAGCAGATTGTGCCTGTTGCTGAAATGGGTGAGAAGCAGCAGCAGCAGCAGCAGCAGGGGAGGGGGAGGGCAGCAACCACAACCGTCACTAGTATCAACCCAATGATCCCGCCTAGAATAATCGCTGCTATTTACTCGAAAATACCCGAGGGTATTTCCCCTGAGCTGCAACAGCAGTGGGTGGAGCAGCAGCAGCAGTCTTACTTGCTGCACCAGCAGCAGAAGCAGCAGCGACGGCAGCAGCAGGAGGAGCAACGGCAGCAGCAGGAGAGGGAAAGGCAGTTACAGGAAGAAATAATGCAACAGCGGAGAGCAGAGGAGAGGGAGAGGGAGAGGGAGAGGGAAATGGAGAGGGAAAGGGAGAGGGAGCGGGAGAGGGAAATGGAGAGGGAGAGGAGGGAGAGGGAAAGGGAGAGGGAGCGGGAGAGAAGGGAGAGGGAGAGGGAGCGGGAAAGGGAGCAGGAGAGGGAGAGGGAGAGGGAGAGGGAGATGGAAAGGGAGAGGAAGAGGGAAGCAGAGAGGGAGAGGGAGAGGTGGAGGAAGCAGATGCAGGAGCAGAAGCCACTAGCAGTGGTGATGCTGATGCAGTCCATGGGAGCACGCAAGAAGAACGAGGGCAGGGAAGGAGGAAGGGCGGGAGGAGGTGGGGGAGCAGCGATGGGAGCAGACGGATGGGATGGATCTCCTTCTGCCCGTCAACGTGGCCAGTGCAGGGACTCGGATTATGTAAGACTCTGCTTCTTTTCATCTCTCGACTTCTTTTGTGTTTGAGCTTCTTGGTTTTAATCTCAAAGGAATGATCCTAGAGGCAAGTAGGTTGGTCCTCTGTTTGACGCTGATGGTTCTTGGCAGGTTCCTTGAAAGTTCGCTGCACCTTCTCTTCAGCTTCCCTGGTTCTGCAGCTTCTCTGAAGCACACTGCATAGAAGTGGGCAGGAAGAGGGAAAGCTGACTCAAGAGGCACTCAAATGTCACTTTTGACAAAGGGAAGCAAGAGAGGAGGAGGGGGTGTTGATCAGGCCGCGCAATGGAAGGAGTATTCCCCCATTCCCCCTGGGTCTCAATTCCTTCATTTTACCCCTGCAATCTTTCACCCCTGGCAGCTACACCATTCCCCCCATGCAGGTTGCCTGCTGTGCAAGCCTCTGCGGCGCTCCCAGTCCCAGCCACTGGGGCAGCTCGAGGGAAGCGCAGCAGCCCAGGCAATAGGGATATTGCGGACGTGGCAGGCAGGACATGGCGGCACGCCCACCCCACACACACTGCTGCTGCTGCTGCTTCTGCTGCTGCTGCCACCAGTTCCCCCATTCCCCTGTATGCCAATCTCCCCATTCCCCTGTGTCCCATTTCCCCCATGCCCCTCTGCCCGCCCTCAGGTTCCTTGCCACTCAAGCCTCTGTGGTGCTCCCAGCCGCCGGGGCAGCTCGAGGGAAGCACAGCAGGCCAGGCAGGGAGGATATAGCGGCAGCACGGCAGCATATGGCGGCGGCACGGCAGGATATGGCGGCAGCACGGCAGCACAGAGGGCGGTGCTGCTGAGGCAACAGTCAGAATCTGATTTGCTACGTCAGCACATGCAGCAGCAGCAGGTTTTGCATCAGCAAATGCAGCAGCAGCAACAATTGCACCAACAGCAGGTGTTACAGCAACAGATGGAGCAGCGGCAAATGCAGCAACAGCACATGCAGCAGCAGCAAATGCAGGAGCAACATCAGCAAATGCAGCAGCAGCAAATGCAGCAGCAGATGATGCAGCAGCAGCAAATGCCACAGCAGCACATGGTGTTACAAGGGCAAACGCCACAGCACGTGTTACACATGCAGCCGCAACAGCTGTTACCACAACAGCAGATGCTACACCCAACCCAACAGTTACCGCAACATCAAGTGTTACACCAAACTCAGTGGTCACCGCAACAGCAACCAGCCTATGAGGTCTCACACCATCCTCAGATGTTGTCACGCCATGGCATACCCGATTATGGGCTCCCGCAATACCAGTCATTGCATTTAACTGGCGACAGCTGGGCCAGATAAACATATGGTGGCAGGTCTCACAGATGCATCATCCTCATGCAACGGCATACCACAGTATGAGCTACCTCAATACCAGTCATTGTATTTTCCTGGCATCAGCCGGGCCAGATCAAGCGACACGCACCTGCACCTGTGCCTTGGTGCTCTGTTTCTCTTTGTTGTTTTGTACATGTGTATCCATCGATGTACTATACAAATAACATCAAATCATACTAATTAGCATACAACAGTACCCCAAATCATGGATCCCCGCCCCGAATGTGCTGCACCAATATTCGCCTCAAAGCTCAGTAACTTGAGTTGAGTCATCATCTCATACTATATCTAGGGGAACTGTGAGTGGACTTGGGATTAGCAACAAAACATAATGATTTGCCAGGCGCCTGGATAGTGTAAGCTACGGTAATATCAACTTGCCATTCCATGTCTTTCAAGACGCAGCCCATCGCCCACACGCTTGCCCTTGCATCAGCCAGGAGCAGCAAGGTGAGTGGAAAGTGGAGGGAATGGCTCAATAGGGTGAAGGACAGTTCAGGTACATGGATGGGGTGGGGTGGAGAGTATGAGGGAAGCAGTGCCAATGGTAAAGGAGGAGACAGAAACCCTGGCAGGCTGGTGAAATAAGGCTGGTGGGAAACAATGCAAGAATTTGTCCCCCCCCCCCCCCCACATTGAATTGAGGTTATCAGACAGCATAATTGCGCTGCCCCCAATGGCAACATAGAGGTGAAGACGACTCATCCCATAGTTACCAGTTGTCACCATCTTTTACACTTTCACCTTTTTGGGTCAACATGACTCCAATGCGCCTTGCACATGCTGCACCCGTCTGTCAGTTGTTAGAAGAACGCCCATTATGCATGTCGCACATACACTCCCTGCATGTCACACATACGCTTTTTGAATGTCACACACGCACTCCCCGCATATCACACTCCCTGCTTGTCACAAATACGCTTTGTGCATGTCGCACATACACTCCCTGCATCTCACCACTCTCTGCATCTCACACATACACTCCCTGCATGTCACACATGCAGTGTTCTTTGCCAAATGCAGAGCGTGCTGTCAGCATGCTCGCACACATGCAGAGCGTGCTGTCAGCATGCTGAATCCGCTCCTCTTCACATGCAGGGTGCAAGGGAGGGAGGAGATGACGCGCCTTAAACATTGTTTGTCCTGAGGTGAAACAAATAACAACAAAGAAAGAAGCAGCAGCGACCCGAGATTCAGGAACATGCCATTACTCGTTATGTTCGCAATGTCAAGTTGAGGGTGTGGGTGCAAGAAAGGAGGGAGGGATGAGGGAGGGAGGTTGAGAAACCAGGCGTGGGAAGGGGGGGCAGAAGCCAAAGGCGAGTTTGCACAGACAGTTTCGGTTCCAACCTCCCACCCCACCCCACCCCACCCCACCCCACTCCACCCCACCCCACCCCACCCCACCCCACCCTCTCCCCCCATCCCTCCACTCCCCATCCCCCTGTCCCTCCCAGGCAGCCATCGGGGGTGTGACCTGCAGGGGAGCACGGTTGGCGTTGGTGCGGATGGGTGCAGCTAGGACCACTCGTGCAGGGACCTTGAGCGGGGCCTTGAGCAGCACCTCGCGCAGCACCTCATGCAGACCACACCGCCACGAACGACGAGCTCAGCTCCGCCTTGCGCGGGCCTTGCGCGGGCCCTGCACCGCCAGCTCCGATGGCTTTGAGAAGAGCTGCTGTCTGTCCACAGCGCGCACGGGGGGAACGAACGACGAGCTCAGCTCCGCCTTGCGCCACTCCGACACGCACGGGGGGAAGGACTGCTGGCTGTCCACAGCGCGCACGGGGGGAAGAGGGGGGAGGAGCGGGGGAGAGGAGCGGGGGAGGGAGGGGGGAGGGCGGGGAGGGACGGGAGGGAAGGAGGGGAGAGAGGGGGGAACGGAGGAAGTTGGGGAGAGAGAGGGGAGAGAGCGGGGAATGGAGTAAGCTGCTGAACGTGCTGTCAGCATGCTGAATCCACTCCTCTTGAAACAAGCCATTGAAGAGACATTAACCATGAACGATGCGGAAAACACGTTAGATTCCAAAAAAAAAGGAAGACTCAATTTAAAAAGCGCAAGCTTTCCATGGCGAGATAAGGCGAAAGAGATAAACAACGCACCGCGCGTTCCCAGCTGTTGCTTTTGCTGAAACGTGCCGCAGAAAGCGCTAAGAACCTATCTCCATATGTTCACTGCGTGGCAATCGCTCATGCTCCTACGGTTTGTGCGTCGACAGAAACCTTTGTCGCATGGATCGTAACACCCTTCCGTTTGCTTGCTCGTTTGCCTGCTGACGGAAGCGCCCATGGGAGATACTCCCGCTACTTCCATATACTCGTGAAGGATTTCAGATCGTATCTTTAGAAAGAGATTGCTCGTGAAGGATTTCAGATCGTAGCTTTAGAAAGAGATTGCTCGTGAAGGATTTCAGATTTATCTCATAACGTAACTCCAGCAAGAAGAATGATGTGGTCAGCTGAGTGGAAAATCGCTGGATCCAATCGAAACAGAGAAGGGATTTGTTGGAGCGAAGGGATGCGAAACAGATTGAAAGTTGTCGCCACATGTCGCAATGGGTAAAAGCAGGCGAGGCGATTCAATGGAAGCTCTGGCACGCTGCTGCACACAACCCGCACGCTCTCCCGCTTCCGATTTTAGATCTAGATATTGGCGTTCACATTTTACATTTGGCTTTCTTAGTACTGTCTCATTCCTTAGAACCGCAGCGACGAGTATCACGCCTCGTACCTTAGTGTTGTCTCGCTTCTGATATTTAGTACGTCATTTACGAACGTCACTCAAGCATCGTTGCGAACAGCGGTAGTAAGGTCGCGAATGCTTCCTGTACATTCCGGCATTTGGCAGTTAGTAGGTTGAGAGTGCTTTCGCCTAGAGGCGCAGACTTGGTTTTCGAACATAAATTTCCGTCGAACGAAAATACGATTCCTTATCAAGAACTTTCCACCGATTTTTCAGCAATCCCTAAGGCGCGCTGTCGCTTGTGACTCGCGCCGGTTACACAGGCTGGTAACTCGCGCTGGTCTCGTGCTGGTAAGTTGCAATCGCGCGAGTATCTCGCCCTGAAAAAACTCGCGCTGGTAACTCACGCTGGTAACTCGCGCTGGTTACTCGCGCCAAGTGTCTGTGAAATATATCGGCTGAGGGCGAAGCCTAACAGGTTCCGTTTCTCCCTGCCCACCCCTTTCCGTCTCCCCCTTCCCTCCGTTCCTTCTCCCCACTCTCCTCGAATGTTGGGGGAACTTTCAGCAGCATTTCCTCCTCCCTCCCTTTCCCCTTCCCACCGCCCCCCCCTCCCCCCTCCCCCCCCCCCCCCCCCCCCCCCGTCCCCCCTCTCTCCCCTTATCGCCTTCGCGGACACTGTCCCTTACGCGATTGCAGGGTGCTTCAGCAGCCTCTCTCGGGGTTTCCCTGCCTGCCTCCCTCCCTCCCTCCCTCCCTCCCTCCCTCCCTCCCTCCCTCCCTCCCTCCCTCCCTCCCTCCCTCCCTCCCTCCCTCCCTCCCTCCCTCTCTCCCTTTCGCGGACACTGTCCCTACGCGATTGCAGTGTGTTTCAGCAGCATTTTAACCCCCTTCTTTCCCCCTCGCTCCTTCCACCCCGGAGAGCTTCAGTAGCATTTTTCAGGGTTTCCCTCCCTCTCCCTCCATCCTTTCAGCAGCATCTTTCAGGATTTCTTCGCCTTCCCCCTCCCTTCATCCTTTCAGCAGCATCTTTCAGGGTCCCTCCCGCCCCTTCTTTCTCCCTCCCTCCTTTCAGCAGCATCTTTCGGGGTCTCTCCCGCCCCTTCTTCCTCCCTTCATCCTTTCAGCAGCATCTTTCAGGGTCTCTCCCGCCCCTTCTTCCTCCCTTCATCCTTTCAGCAGCATCTTTCAGGGTCTCTCCCGCCCCTTCTTCCTCCCTCCCTCCTTTCAGCAGCATCTTTCAGGGTCTCTCCCGCCCCGTCTTCCTCCCTCCCTCTTTTCAGCAGCATCTTTCAGGGTTTCCCCGCCTTCCCTCCCTCCCTCACCCCTTTCAGCAGCATCCTTTAAAGTTTCCCCCGCCTTCCCCCGTTCTTCCTTCCCTTCCACCACATCTTTTGATCACGCTGAGGAGAGTGTATGTGGTTATGCTACTTTCTAGTCCTTTTCTCTTCCTCCTCCCCCCCCTCCCCCCCAACCCCCATCCCCTCCCCTCCTTTCCCTTTCTCCCCACCCCCTGCTCCTTGTTCCCTCTTCCCACCTCATACTCGTTACAAGTGCCCTTCGCTCACCACGTTTCCCCCCCGAGTTCCGGCACAAGTGCCGGTAGCAGCAGTTGTGGAAGCAGGAGTGCAACAAGCAACTTCACTGGGTCGCAGAACAGGTTCTGTCTGAAGCAGCGTGGAGATTCATTCGTATATGTCCCAAATGTCACATATGCACTCCCTGCGTCTCACACATGCACTCCCTGCATGTCACACATGCACTCCCTGCGTGTCACACATGCACTCTCTGGATGTCACAGATACACTCCCTGCGTGTCACAGATGCAGTTTTGTTGCCCGGGCATTGCACATGACCATTCATGACTGTTACGCATGGACAAGTTGTGCGTGTTCATTGCTCATGGGTGGTGAGTGCATGACCAACAGTGACGTTGTGTTGTAATGCTCTATCAGGCTGTATCTCATTGTTCCCAGGGAGTTTAGTGCAAGGATGCTCACATACCTGCTATGGCGAAAGGGGATATTCGTCATGAGACTCCAAGTGTGTTATTTTCAGAGGTTGCACTAGAGATTCTGTTCGATGGAGGAATTGAGTTTTTTTTTCACAAAAGTGATGTGAGCAATATATTGAACATTTAAAGGATTCAAAGTGCATTTGTAAGATGCTTTTTTTGTCCTAATCGGAGCACAGCGACCATGTACATAAATCGTCAGGGGTCAGAATCATCCAGACAGCGGCAACAACGGGTTTTGCGTGAAACGGGCGAACATTGCGTGATTCCAATGAAGGTTTTGAGTCGCAAGTCTCCGCTAAGGTGGGGGCTTCATGCGTGGTTCCGCGACGACGAGAGGCGTGGATCGGAGAGGTGATATGAGGACGCGGTGAAAGTGGAGAATCGATCGCCTAAGGTTCGTTTTTTAGCGCGGTTATAAAAGGTTGTGTACCTTTCGTGTCCAAAAAGCGGGGTTTTGTGCGGTGACCGAATCGATCTACCCCCGATCGAGCACTTTCACCGCGTCCTGAGATTCTTCTTGCGACTCTTGAATAGCCAATAAAAATGAGATCAGTTTCCCAGCCAACCAACGGCCACGTAGAATCACCAAAGCGCTGAGCAAAAGTGGCACCTACCTACTACGTGTACTGTACCTAGCTGGGCAACAACGCTTCACTTTTGCCAGCGCAGCACAGCTCAACCACATGCCTTCGAAATATGTCGATTTTACTGGATAAACAGTGGCCGCTCCCGCGCCAATTCGTTGACATTCGCCGCTGGAATGCACCTTTTTCTGTGGTGGTCAGAAGCCCATCCACCTCATCGGTGCTCTTTCTTCGGAAACCCGTTGGCTACTCGTCTGACCTCGATCAACTCGCCGATGGCACGCAACCTCCCTCCACTCAACAACCAGAGAACGATCACGCGCCGCACCAATCAATCGGCACCCTCGCAGGCAGCTTCCCCACAACACGACACTGCGGGAATGTCGCGGTTCCGCAAGTGAGTGACACATCACCAGCGAAAGTCAGCGTGGCGGTGGATTTTGTTTCGTGAACCGCATGTGGTGGTGGCCCTCGTAGTGGAGCTTCGCAACCACTTTCGCGAATGGCATGATGAGGAAGGCACAAGAACGCCACCTTGAGCTGTTTTACAATGACGTACTACATCGTATCAAACCGTACACAACCTTGCTGTCCACGGCTCCTCCTCCTTGTTTGACTGCGTTTTGCTTTTGCCTTCACTTTCCCCAAACCAAAGCAGAGTTTCTTGCATGGAGATTCTGGAGAAGTATATATAGCTCAACTCAAATCACTCACCTTGTCAAAAGCTCTTATCTTTTCCTGTCCGTTTTTGCTTTCACTCTTTACCGACTGGTGCTATTATTCGCTCTAGCTCCACAGTTCCACACATCAAGCTTGCGACATGGCCGCTGCTTCAATGACTCTCGCGCGCACCTGTATTCCATCGAGCGCAGCTCTCTCTAAATCCCTTCTCAGTGACAAATGCAACACCCCACCTGCACAACCCACCTCCTTCCGCCTTACTCCTAGAGCCGACGCCTCCCCGTCCTCACGATCCGTCGCCACGAACGCCATGGCGATAGCGATGCCGGCGCCGACTTCCTCCGCCTATTACTCTGGTTACCCGACTGAGTCTCTCCCGCCGACCCCGGTCTTCCCGTCAAACCAGGCGATGTCGCAGTTTCTGCAGTCTTACGGTCGCATGCTGCAGCACGTTCAGGCCAACGGTCGCAACGAGCAAGCCGGCGACGCTCTGGTGTCCGGCGACTCTCTCGCAGCAGCGGGTGCGACGGTGGTCGAGCGCGTTCACCTTGGCCTCAACGCGCTACTCGGTCACCCCGTTCACGTGAGTAGTTTTTACAAAAGCCTGATGCCTGTGATTGGAGCCGTTTTCGCCATTTCCCGTGTAGACGAAAATTGCGAAGGCTGTCCTCCGAGACCTCATACTTCACTGGACGAACCAGCTTTGATCTTGTGTACCCGCAAAGACTTTTTCTGACAGATTCGTGTCGGTTTGTGTTTCTTGTTTTACTTTCAGGGTGTGCAAGGAGGACAGAGGTGGTGCGAGAAGGAGATGCAGGTCGAGCGGTGCTTAGCCGAACTCGAGAAGGACATCGACGGCATGCGATCGGCCCACGAGCGACCTCCACGTGCCGCTACTCTCACCCTCGCCACCGCTCACTGCTACGAAGCCGCTCGCCTCATTCGCACCCTTTGATTGGTTCGCTGATCCGAGCCTCGTTCCGCCTTTGAGTGGTTCGTCCGTTGTCTCCATCACGTTATCTGCTTGCTCGGACCTGCTCGCGTTCACAGCCGCAGCAGTCAGATCCGTTGGCATCACGACCCCATTTGGGTGCTTTAGGCTCTCGCCGTTCATCGTTAATTTTAGACTAGGGGTGCTCGGCCTCCGTCGTTCCTGTTTCTGCCAGCGGTTTTCGTTCTTGTAACGAGGGTGCCTCGGGGCTTGTCCCGTGCTGGGGGGAGCAGCCATCACCTGACGCTGAGGTGTACATAATTTACAGGAATGATGGATTGGCTGATTAGTTTTAAGGCAGATATTGCGTGTGCTTTTCCACTCATTTTACATTATATGATTTTAGATGACCCTTCCCACCATCCCTGGCCAAATCAGTATTTTGAGGACTTGAATGAGCATATGCATAAGTTGCATAAATAGCTTACTGATAGGTTTCCAGCACGTTTTCTGTGCATGTATCGAATCTCCTAATTTGCAGTACAGTGATACATTCCATCCATCACAATCCTGGCCAATCGCTCGCTCACCGTGACGAGAAATGTACAATCGACTGCCACGAGTGTTGATTCCTGTTACATCCCAGTTGCACTAATTCGCAGTTTTCGCGTGTTTTGTGTACGACCAGACGCTTTCTTTCACCCGTGATCAGTCAGGCCAATTTTTCACAGAACAACCTTGGCGTTGTTCTGCAGGCGTTTAGGGTTCCGCACCAATTTGACCGCGGTAGCCTTCCGTGCATTTTCTAGGCGCATTCATGCTGGTTGCGTTGCGCGGATGTTGCTGCCTCGCATAACGGTGCTGTTCGCCAGCACAATTATAACCAAAAACCACGGAAAACGACGGGATCAGGAAGGTGGGTCTCGCCTTCCTGATCCCGTCAGTTAGAGTTCGTTAACCTCCGTCAGCTTGGTCAGCCCGTGAAAAAATAGCCGAGCCTCACCTACCGTCCAAACCAACAAACAAAGTGGGCGTCTGGCGAACGCCCACTTTTCTCCACCAAATCTAACAGTTCGACGACATCTGGAAGCGGGGACGAAACTTCGTCCCCAGGCAAAATGCCATCCCCTAGCCAAGCCATCGGGGAAAGTATGCCACAAGTAACCAACTTGGAACTCGATAACGTGAATGGTAAAACAAAAACGCGTACGGTCACTGTATCCGGTTTTCTGACGGGTTTGGTAAGCGGGGTCACGGATTCAGTCACTAACAACAGGTAAAAAATCACGCGAATGGTCACACATGTAACTCCCGCCAAAAAAACTTGAAACTCAACAAAATTCCCGCTCGCGCCCAACCAATCTGCGAACTTGTAAAAAAACTAAAACCCAATCGGAATCGGATGCGGTTTGGGAACGGATCAACCCTAAACACCTGGCGAGTTACGTGTTTAGGGTTGATCATCCGAAAATGCATCCAGGTTCTTTCTGGGTTTCATTTTGTTTTGGCGGGAGTTTCATCTGTGACCATTCGCGTTTTTTTTTTACCAGCTGATTGTGACTGATTCCGTGAAACGCTTTATCAGTCGCGTGAAAACACCCTTTGCAGTGACCGTACCCTTTATTTTTTTACCAAAAATGTTTTCGAGTCCCATGATGGTTACGAACGGCATATTTTCCCAAGCCATCGTCATGCCGCGTTTTTCAACGCACAGCGGTGGCACAGCCGAAGCATTGCTGTTCAGCGGGTAACCCTTGAACAAGCCTGCAGTTTAACAAAGGGGGGTTCGTATACCCCCCATTTTTCCCTCCCAAACACACCGTGGCGGGGGTTGTGTTTGAGCGGGGTGTGTTTTATTTGCGTTTTTAACCCACGTTGAGCAATTTTTGGTCAGGCGGGCAGCACAAGGGTCATGGATGAGCGAATTTCGCGCCATTGGGGGGAAGGTGGGGATGGACCTTCCCGATGCGGTTGAGAAATTTCGCCTTTCGGGCGCTCGTAGTTTTCTCGGGCGGCATTTCGCCCAAACCTCGGAGGAGGGTTCCGCCCCCGTTTTCCATATGCGGTCGCGATGCTGATGCCATCGTTTTCTGTTGAAGAAACGATTTGCTGGCGAACAGCACCAACATGTGCGGAGGCTGATGCTAGCTCCCGAGGTAGAATTAGCACCGCACTAGTTGTGCGGCCATTTTGCCCGGCGAAGCAACAACTTCGAACCTGCAGACGGTTAAATTCGTGCGCCCCAAAAGTGGCGTTCTGCAGGCTGATGCGTTGAATTTGGCGCAAACAGGCTCAGCTGGACCTTTCTTATCACCAAACCTTGATAGGCAGAAGACCACTTATCAACGAAGATTCTGCGGACCCAGTTTTTGGAATTTTAACGCCTACAGAACAGCGCCCTTGATGTTGTCCCAGTTCATTTCTGGGTTCCTAGAAACGCCTAGCATAGGGAACTCATCATTGATCAGGAAGGCGATCCGGCTAGCGAGCCGTTAGTGTTTAGTGCCCCGTCGCATCGACTTCAGTGGTGCTCTCTTTTCAATGCTAGGTGATACTGTAAGCTGTGGACCTACCCAACGTTAGATGGTTACAGTTCAGGGACAGAATGGTGACAGAATCAGCGACTCCTTAATTTCCGGTATTCATGGATGCTTCAGTTGTTAAATCCCTTACCTGGTTGTTGTCAGTTCCGTTCTTCATTAACCTATTGCTAGGGCTTTGCAATTAAGAGCCGACATAGCACCGCTACGTTAGGGGCGGCGCATAGGCACGTCATCCAGCCACGTCATCCTGTGGATTCGGCAGTCTGACATGTCCAACATTTGTCAGAAGAGCCGATTGGAGTGTTGACCGTCGTCGGATCTCGATCACACTCTTTCCAGTCACCCCGTGCTCATCTCAATGTCGCGTCTACGAAGATTCGCTCCTCTCCTGTTGCTGATTGCAGTCCTGCTGCTGGACCACCAATCAGCAGCGTCCACGTGGCAAGAGCACGGAACGCTCGATGTTTGCGCGACCAAGCAAACATGCGAGGAACAAAACTTGAGATTTGCACCAGAGGGCAAGAGCGATATTTTTGCGGAGGGCGTAGCTGCTGCTTCTGACTCTGCTGTCCCCACTGACGCTGCTGCTACCGACGGTTCTGTTCCTCCTTTAGCTGATTCCAGCGATGCGCAAACGGGTCAGAAGCAGAGCAGAGCGGACGAGCCGGAATCTGAGGCTGGCGTGACTGAATTGGAGCAGGGTGTGACGCAATCGGAGGATGTGATAAGGGACGGAGAGTCGAGCACGCTGTCTGAAGTGAATGTGACTGCCATGAGGTCAGTCAGTCAGTCAGTCAGTCAGTCACGCTCTCACAGCATGATGGCTTGAAATTCTCTATCATGGTTTTATCTCCCATTGCTCTGCCATCATTGACCTGATGCAGGTATGGCCCTCTGAGCTAAATGTTATTCTCACGAATTCAGTGATTCCACGAGCATGTCACCATAGGGATTCCAGTGCCGCGACTTTCCAAAGCATCGTATGTCTGTCCTCCTTTCGATTCAACCCCTTCTCCCAGGATCTTTAGAATTGAACATGCATGCACCATGTTTCCTGACTGAAAGTGAGTTTCCTTCTATCTCCTTGCAGGCATCAAGTAGAGGAGATGTTCTATCATGCGTATGACGGTTACAAGCGATTCGCCTTTCCACAAGACGAGCTGAAGCCTCTCAGGTGTTGCGCCTTGCATCTGCTGCATGTCTCTCTATCTCTCGCTCTCACTGTCAACATCTTTCTGCCCTGACCGCCATCCTCCTTTGCAGCAGCTTGGTCGCTTTAGCTTGTTCCCTAAGTCAGTCTGGTCGTGTGGTGCAGGCGCATTTCTTACAAACTTTCAGGCTGGCTCTTTTCGTCCTCTATTACCTCTCTCCCCTCACCCATCCCCTTGCCCCCATTGCTTCCCCATGTTTCCCTTGTTTCCTGATTGCCAGCTGCTCTGGGTCCAATCCCTATGGTGGCATGGCGATGACGCTCATGGAGAGCCTAGGCACGCTGCTGGTGAGGATTGGTGGCAGGTAGAGTGGGTCTCTGTGTGTCTGCAGTTGGCGGTAGCACACTTTCTCGCTTGCTCCTCTGCTCTGGATCCAACCCCTGTGGTGGCATGGCTATGGTGCGCATGGAGAGGCAAGGCACGCTGCTGGTGAGGAATAGAGTGGTGGTTGGCTAGTAGGTACTAGGTAGGGGTCGAATGCGTTGCTCACTTGCTCGCTTGCTCCAGTGCTCGCAGCTGCTCCGGATTCAGTCCCTATGGTAACGGCGGCATGGCTCTGACGCTCACGGTGAGCCTGCTGGTGAGGTGGTGAGAGCACCATTGCCATGTTTGACTAGATCACTGACGAGCAGCTGGCGACGCGCTCGATCCAGTCCCTATGGTAACAGCGGCATGGCTCTGACGCTCCCTATGGAGAGCCCGCTGGTGAGGTGAAATAAGTGTTTGTTTTGAGAGGTCTCAAAACAACCCTTATTTCATGTGCTCCGGATCCAGTCCCTATGGTTATGGTGGCATGGGCGCCCCAACCAAACAGGAGCCATGGCTTTACGTGGCAGCAGCTTTTAGCAAAAGATTGGTTTGTTTCAGATGAAGAATGGTAATGGTGGCATGGCTCTGACGCTCATGGAGAGCCTGCTAGTGAGGTGGTGGTGAGAGAGCACACAGGAAATGAGAGTGTTTTTGAGATGTCTCAAAAACGCTCATGGAGAGCCTGCTGCTGGTGAGGTGGTGGTGAGAGCACACGATCAATGCATCCGATTTTTTCCGCCCATCCCCCCACCTCCCCCCTTTTGAGTCGACTCAGAAGTCAGTCGACTCAAAAGTCAGTCGACTCAAAAGTCAGTCAACTCAGAAGTCGGTTGACTCAAAAGTCGGTCGACTCAAAGGTCAGTCGACTCAAAAGTCGGTCGACTCAAAAGTCAGTCGACTCAGAATTCAGTCGACTCAGAATTCAGTCGACTCAGAATTCAGTCGATTCAGAATTCAGTCGATTCAGAAGTCAGTCGACTCAATAGTCAGTCGACTCAAAAGTCATAGAGAGCCTGCTAGTGAGGTGGTGAGAGCACAGGATCAATGCATGGAATTTTTTCGCACATCCCCCCACCTTCCCCCTTGCAGCTTCTCGGCAACGTATCAGAGTTCAGCTGGGGTGGGAGTACCTTTCTTACACATCTCTCCTGCTGATAGGCGATTCAGTACCTTCAGCCTGCCTCTTTCTGATAGTGACTCTTTCTCGCCTGCCTCCATCTGCCCCTGTCTGCCTGCTCCCTCTCCCCCAGCTCTGGGCAACGAATCAGACGTTCAACTGGGGCGTCGGAGTACCTCTCTCACCCACCTCTCTTTCACAGAGGGCGATTCAACGCCCTGCCTCATCCCCCCTCCCTCTATGTTCTTCCATGCACCCCCACCGGGCCCACCCCCCACCTCCCCCCGCCTTGTAGCTCTTGGGCAACGTATCAGAGTTCAACTGGGGCGTGGAGTACCTCTCTCAGCATCTCTCCTTTGATCTGGATATACGCGTGTGTGTTCCATACTCGCCCATCCCTCTCCCTCCTCTCGCTGTCCTCTGTTTTCCTCCATTGCTGTCCCTCCCCTCCCCTTCCCTTTCCCCTCAACATCCCCTTTTCCTCCACATTCTCTATTTTCTCACATTCTCTTCTCGAGTATCGTTCTGTTCTTTCTGCCTCCTCTCCATTGCTTGCTGACATGACTCTCTCCCACCTCCCTCACTCACACCATCCTCCACTCTTCTGTCCAACCACATGAGTCTTGAGACGTCGTAGAAAACTATTTTTTTCCTTTGCTATTTCTTTGTCTCTTTTCCACCCTCTCCCGTGCAGCATTGTGTTTGAGGCCAACATAAGGGCGCAGGGAGCCTCCTCTCCACACGAGTGTTGAGTTTCTCAAAGCTCTCTCACCCCTGCCCCTACTCTTTCTCTCCTCTCCTCGCTCCCTATCGTTCACTCTCCCTCCCTCCCAGCAACGTGTTTGAGGCCAACATAAGGGCGCTAGGGAGCCTCCTATCCGCCCACATGCTTATCCTGCAAAGCCGCGACCCCGCGCTGCCACCTGTCCATCCCTCATTGGCCGGCGTGCATCTGGCACCTGGGTACAACGGCCGTCTTCTGGAGCTGGCTATTGATCTGGGCTTCAGGTGAGCCTCAGGTGGGATTCTGGACGTTCCAAGTGAGTTTCAGGTGGGTTTTGTTGTAGTCTCTCTCCCTCACTCTCCCTCATATTATTCAGAAACGCCCATCTCATACGCATGGCGAACATCCGGAGGGGAGTGCTGCCAGACGACGTCACCCAACTGTCGCCCTTCCCTTTCCTCTCCCTCCACCCTCTCCTCTTCCCACCCTCTATCACCCAGACTTCTCCCTGCTTTCTCATCAGGCACGCCCATCCCCTACGCATGGGTGAACCTCCGAGGGGAGTGTTGCCAGTCGACATCACCCACACACACTGCCCTGTCCTCCCAATCTTCTCTCCCCTCCACCCCCTTGCTCTCCCAGACTTCTCCCTGCTTTCTCTTCAGGCACGCCCATCCCCTACGCGTGGGTGAACCTGCGAAGGGGAGTTCTTCCAGACGACGTGACACACACATGCACTGCTGGCGCCGGCACGCTGCTGCTGGAGTTCACTGCGCTCTCAAACCTCTCCGGCATTCCCATCTTCCAGGTAAGGAAATCATAGACAAGAAGTGGACTCAGACCGAGCGAAGGGTATGAGAGCTCTCCCACATACGCACATTGAGGGTTTCCCACTCACGTGCACTGCCGGCGGTGGCACTCTGCTGCTGGAGTTCAGTGCTCTCTCGAACCTCTCAGGCATCCTCATATTCCAGGTGAGGGAGAGAGATGGCAGGTGTTTTGAGTTGAGACATGTTATCTTAAAGCTCAGTCGCTATAAGTACTTGGAAGCCCGCACGGGGAGAGCCCGCACGGGAAAAGCCCGCACTGGGAAAAGCCCGCACTGGGGAAAAGCCCGCACTGGGAAAAGCCCGCACTGGGAAAAGCCCGCACTGGGAAAAGCCCGCACTGGGAAAAGCCCGCACTGGGAAAAGCCCGCACTGGGAAAAGCCCGCACTGGGAAAAGCCCGGACTGGGAAAAGCCCGCACTGGGAAAAGCCCGCACTGGGAAAAGCCCGCACTGGGAAAAGCCCGGACTGGGAAAAGCCCGCACTGGGAAAAGCCCGCACTGGGAAAAGCCCGCCCGCACTGGGAAAAGCCCGCACTGGGAAAAGCCCGCACTGGGAAAAGCCCGCACTGGGAAAGGCCCGCACTGGGAAAAGCCCGCACTGGGAAGCCCGCACTGGGAAAGCCCGCACTGGGAAAAGCCCGCACTGGGAAAAGCCCGCACTGGGAAAAGCCCGCACTGGGAAAAGCCCGCACTGGGAAAAGCCCGCACTGGGAAAAGCCCGCACTGGGAAAAGCCCGCACTGGGAAAAGCCCGCACTGGGAAAAGCCCGCACTGGAAAAGCCCGGACTGGGAAAAGCCCGCACTGGAAAAAGCCCGCACTGGGAAAAGCCCGCACTGGGAAAAGCCCGGACTGGGAAAAGCCCGCACTGGGAAAAGCCCGCACTGGGAAAAGCCCGCACTGGGAAAAGCCCGGACTGGGAAAAGCCCGCACTGGGAAAAGCCCGCACTGGGAAAGGCCCGCACTGGGAAAAGCCCGCACTGGGAAAGCCCGCACTGGGAAAGCCCGCACTGGGAAAAGCCCGCACTGGGAAAAGCCCGCACTGGGAAAGGCCCGCACTGGGAAAAGCCCGCACTGGGAAAAGCCCGCACTGGGAAAAGCCCGGACTGGGAAAAGCCCGCACTGGGAAAAGCCCGCACTGGGAAAAGCCCGCATTGGGAAAAGCCCGCACTGGGAAAAGCCCGCACTGGGAAAAGCCCGGACTGGGAAAAGCCGCACTGGGAAAAGCCCGCACTGGGAAAAGCCCGGACTGGGAAAAAGCCCGCACTGGGAAAAGCCCGCACTGGGAAAAGCCCGCACTGGGAAAAGCCCGCACTGGGAAAAGCCCGCACTGGGAAAAGCCCGCACTGGGAAAAGCCCGGACTGGGAAAAGCCCGCACTGGGAAAAGCCCGGACTGGGAAAAGCCCGCACTGGGAAAAGCCCGCACTGGGAAAAGCCCGGACTGGGAAAG